TGGCAGCCCTTTGTGGCCATTGTGTGATTCCAATTAAAACACACCTGGTTTAAGGTGCTGCAGAGAAGTTCAGTGCCAGTTCCCCCTAAATCAGTGGGTCTCAACCTTCCTAATGCCACAACCCTTTAATACAGTTTCTCATGGGGTGATGACCCCCAACCATAAAATTATTTTATGTTTTCTGTATTTTTTCAAAATATGTGTTTTCCAATGGTCTTAGGGTCATTCAATCCCCAAAAGGGCCCCGACCCACAGGTTGAGAACCACTGCCCTAAACCCTTTGAAGACATGTTTGCTTTCGAATCTGTTATCTCTGTTATCGAAGTGCTATCTCACTCTGTTGCTTATTACAAGATCATAAAAAGGCAGTTTATTATTTTAAGACATGAAGTACAATAATGTTGGGCATACAAATAATAACTGCAAGGGAAAATGGAATTTTATAGAAAAAATATACTATATTTGGAGCTCAGTTTGTTTAAAAGATTTGGACTGGAGCCACCTGAACAGTGTATAATTCTTTAACTTTATAAAGGTATTGGTTCGCTTCGCGCCCAGTGCCAGATGAGCGTTGCACGCGCATGCAATTTACTGTAAATTGTTCTGTGCATGCGCAAAGACCATGAAAAGCTAATAAAAAACATGCTGGCAACGGCAGTGGAGACTGGGGAATCAGTTCAGGGGTGTGGCCAGCCTGGGTCGCTGCTGGTTCTGCGACCCAGCCAAATTACCACTACCGCTTCACCCGAACTGGTGCAAACTGGTATAAACCCACCTCTGGTATAGATGTTATTGTACATTATTTCTCAAGATAACTTTTGTTACTGCTAATTTTGAAAAAAAGATTAGCAGATATATAAGATGCTAAAGTCCTTTTCAGTTCTCTTCTGTTCCTTATTGTTTTACCAGGCTTTGCCCTCATCCTTGCAAGCATACTTTCAGCAGCTTTAAGCACTATCATTTTAAGATGAAAACTGGCATTTTCAAAACTTTTAACATTGTGCCCAGTACCAAATTCTGTGTAGTAGAGTGGATTTGGGAATATGAAAACAACCTAGCCTTTATTAAACCAACATATTTCCATAGTTCTAAGATAATTTGTCAATCATGAAATGGTACAATGCATATTTATTATAATTACCAGGACCTTTAAAGGTAATTTAAGGGAAAAACAATTGCAACCTTTTCTATGAAAATATTCATTTTGTAGGTTTTTGAGACATAGGATCCCTAGGAAGATTGTTGGATGGCTTGTTCTCAATACCTTCTAAACTAGATAGGCACCCACTGGTGATATTAAGAACAGATTTTTTTTGGCCAGAGTATCTAACTAACTCTTTCAAAATGCAATTGTACAAAACCAAATTAAAATAATTATAGGTTTAACATTACATTATTCAAATACAAATGGTGTGATTTGATTTATTTATTTATTTTGCTAGAGCAGTTCAATTGTTACAAATGCCTTCTTAAGGTTACCCTGTTCTCTTTTTTCCCTTTATAATACAAACATATGAAGGCCACACATTTAAAAGTATCATTACTTTTCTATTTTCCCAGTAGGCTAACTGTGTTCTAGCAGCTGTCCAAGGAGAAACATATTAACTACTTTCTCCTGAGAACAAAGAACAGTGGTCATAAAAAAAACCTGCATGATTTATCTGGTGGTTGGCTTCTTATTTATGATTATTACTGTTAATACACACAGTTTGAATATTCCTGTGAACTCAGGATTCACATAGACATCCCCTCAATTTTTTGTTTCGGTTAATTTTGGATATTTTGGCAGAAAAGAAATGAAAATAGAAATAATATATAACAATTGAGTCTATTATAAATAATTACATAATGAATGGCTCATTTGTAAGAGCAATTGTGCAATGAAAACAGTTGCTAGAGGGTGGAATATCAGCTATTACACATATTAATCAATAATGATACTACATCAATATTGGTAGAGTTATATAACCTTGCTATTAGAGAGCTTTCTGTAAATAATTTTCTTAGAAATTATTGGATATTGACACTGAATTGCCAAATTGGTTCTACATGAACAGAGCAGCTTATTTAAACAACATCTCCCTGATCACTATAAAGAAATAGGCAGAAAGAGAGGCTTTTACATAATGAGGATTTAAATAAATTGTTAACGTTTCTTTATAAAGGAAATGTAGCGTGACAACAGACTAATGTAAAATTTGTACATATTTTAGGTGGCCTATTTTCTGCAATTATACTTGCATGTTTGAGAGAATTAATTACCTTTCTTCTCAGATAATACTGAATAAAACTTTATCTAATAAATATTTAAATATTTATTACATAATAGTTATTATTAACATGCAAATGATATTAAAGTTAGTAAATAATGAGGTTAATAAATAATATTATTTATTAATTACATTAACTTTTATGTGGTAGATGTTGGGACTTCATGGTATTCTGCAAAGTGCAACAACATATGTGAGTATACAATAACATTTTAATAGATCCAGTTATTATAGTATCCCCTACTATAGTGTAGATTTTTCATTAGTTTCTACTATATTGTATAGTTGTAATAATAAATACCAAGAAAATAAGGAACTTATACTTTTATACTTTAACTTATCTGCTTTGGAGGTCCTGCACTGTTTCTAACAAATATATTTTGCAGTTAAATATTACACAATCAAATGCTGAGCATAAAGAAAAATAATAGAGAGGAAAAAAATACACAAATGCTCCCTTATATAAAAATTTAAATAAATAATAAGTTGGGAAAGGTTGGTAAAATATATTAAAAACGGTGACAACACTCAGTTTTTACCTTTAAAAAGCATGTAATGGAAAATAGATTGTGTGTACTGTAGTTCTTACTGCAGATTAATTGATAATGTATGTATTAGGCTATAAAATTAAGAAAATCAAGGTGAAATGGAAAATACACTTGATACAAAGAATAAGAACAAGAATGCAAAGTCAGTGAACCCTTTTCACAGCCAAAAGACTAGAATGAAGCATCAACAGTCTCGTTCTTCAGCAGAAGAAATAAATGGTTCCATTTCCATCAATCCTAAACAGACATGCAACAAAAGGCAACTGCAATCTAGTGTCATATTAACTCCAACCTTTCTGTATTTGCAATGTGACATCATGGCATCAATGTGAAGGATGGAACTTGTTAAGTGACATCATGGAGCAAGCTGTCATTCTAGCTAGAAAAGCAGCCTGTAATTGCTTAAGATCTTCTGTGTATACAGACCTTGTTGTCATTTTTTTCCATTTAATTGATGGGAACAAAACATTTTAGATTGATCCAATAGGTTTGTTTTTAATTTACTCAGTGAGATCTGGGATAAATGAAAGGGGCTGTGCCTTAACCAAGTATAAATAATATCATTTAATTAATTTTTCCAAGGTATTTTAAATAATTATGCAGTAACAACATAGATGACAGCTTGTGATCTTTCTTGCAAAGAGGGTTATCATAGGTGGGGAACTAGCCATTGCTGATGTTTAACTCACCATCCTTCTGGCTGTTTAGGAACGCCAGAAGTTTCCCCGGGGCAGCATTTCTAGAGGGTCATATGTTTCCCATCCTTGTCTAAGCAAAATCAAGAATGTTCTTGCTGCAAAGTCATTAGACTTCAACATGTTAACATTTTGGAAATAACCTTTGTATAGCAAAAATAGCTGAAGTTAGAAAAAAGATAAACCAAGAAAGACTGAAAAAATCACCTTGTTTATCAGATTTATTTTTCCCTGCCTTCCCTGATTTTCATTGTGAGATAATTCTAGATTTGACATCCTTTTAGCATTTTTTCTATTCCTTTCTGGTATTTACTTAGGCAATAAGTTCTTTCCCTGGTTCTTGGATTATGATTTGAATCTTCATTTCTGAATTTGCTTTCTTAAGTGTGCATATGTGACATTTGTGAAGTCATCCTAATGAAATTCTTTACCAAAGCCAGATATGGAATGAACACACACACACACACTTTTCATTATAGGTGCATAATACTATCAATTCACACTACATCCCATGGGATCGGAAGTAAACTGGAGTGTTTGACCATAATTTATATCTAGTTACAGTTAATATAGTTTACTTTCCCTCATTCCCTTCTTTCTCCCTTCTCATGGTTTCTGATCCAGAATTGCAGGCACTTCATTTTAAATTTTAACCAATACTATATTATTTTGTTTTACTATGGAATACAGGTAGCCCTTGATTTATGGCCACAATTGGGCCCCACATTTTTGTCGTTAAGCAAGAAAGTTGTTTTCCTCCATTTTACAACTTTTCTTGCCACAGCTGTTAAGTAAATCATTACAATTGTTAAGTTAGTAACCTAGTTGTTAAATGAATCTGGCTTCCCCATTGACTTTGCTTGTCAGAAGTTCGCAAAAGGTGATCACATGAACCTGGGACACTGCAACCATCATAAATATGAGCCAGTGGTCAAGAGTCTGAATTTTGTTCATGTTACCATGCGGAGTCATAAGTGTGAAAAATGGTTATAAGTTACAGTACTTTTTCAGTGTTGTTCTAACTTATAGTCATTTGTTCTAACAAATAGTCATTAAATTAATGTTTGTGAGTTGAGGACTACCTGCATCTCTTTTATATCTTTACTTTTTATCATGGATTATAATAATAATTTTAATTTTTAGGTATTCCATGTATTTTTGTATTTTAATAACTTGGTAATTTAGGGATTATAGTATGTCCTTCACAGAGCATTTTTCATAATTCAGTCAGTTTTCTCTAGGTATCAAAACTTTTAGCATTCTAGTATTTGTATTTTATTGCTCAATAATATTCAACTCTTTTATACCATGTTCAATTCTGGTTAATGATGATAATAAATATAAGGATGGTACAGTATATGTGTACATAAAACTGATCCATCATTACTAGAAGAGATACATTAAACACTTTTTCAAACAACAGTCTTTGTACCATTGCTGTTCAATTTTGATAACATGTAAGAAGAAGTACAAAGTGAACTGCTCACTTGTATTTATCTTCTGAAGGGAGATATGCTTTTCCAACTGCCTGCGAAGTTTAACCTCAGCACCATATTTTCCCGTGGTTCCATTATCAGCCAGAATAAAATGAGAATGCATACTGTTGAGTACTGTCAGCTTACTCATTGGATTGGACATTGTTTGATACGGTCGGACTACCTGCATATGTGAAAAAAAGAGAATATAAACTTAGATTATTGTAGTAGCATGGAAATCCTGATAAAGTCTAGTATTGAGATAACAAACCAAGACCAAGCTACTGAAATCAATTTCCAAGCATTTCTAAAATTCAAGTACTGAAGGAGGTTTTCAAACTCAGAAAATCAATAATAAATTATTGTCTAGATATAATGGTAGAAAAGTGGCACAACTCTTTTTAAATCTTATTTAAAAACAAACCCAACCAACCACTGTGAAATTTGATTCCCTATAAGTATTCACAAGTTGGATTTATTCATGTTATAATGATGGAAACGGAGAAATAGAATTCCAGTAATATTATTTGTTTTTCAGTTTAAAAGGCTATAAAATGGGCAGATTGGCCGGGGGAAATATGGCTCACATGATAACATTGTGTAAGTATGTTTACCAGTCATCATTATGTCATTATATAAGAATACCATTTATGCAATTACCTCATGTTATATGTTGTTGTGGCTTGCAGATGCTATTTGAAGTACTTATTTATAGCCACCCAACTCAACCAAGAGAGTGTGAGTCTTACAATTCTAAAATTATAATAATTAATAACATGGAAACCAAACATCCACATAAATAAATAGATCTAATTAGTTGTGATCGGATGTTTTGGACTAATTTTCATCAGTTCCAACAGTCGTGGCTGTGGGAATTGCAATCCAATAAGGCCCCATAGATGTAAGTCATCAAGTTACTTATTCCTTTTCAAAAATATAGGGATTAAAATAATTAACTTTGCTGTTGGTTTTTCTGTTAACTACTTCTTTTATATAAATATGGTAGATAAAGTTATAACAAACCAAATTGGTTGTAAAGAGACGTAGAAGTTTATAAATTCTGGGCCTGATTCGCAAGAGGATGAAGCTATCATTTCAATATATTAATCCGTATTTAACTAAGGGAGACAATATATGTATATATGTTTTTGTTGTCTTTTTAATGCCGATTTTTAATGTGTTTGTCTAATTTTGTTTTGTTTTTGTAAAATTTCTTTTCCTTTTTATGGAGTTTGTATTTTAACTTTCTGAATAAAAAAGATTATTGCTAAAAAATAAAAAAATAAAATAATCAAGTTTATTTCTTAGATAGTGTATATACTTATATTTCATATTGCCTTCTATATCAATGACCTTCAGTTGTTAAGAGAACATGAATGCACAATTCTACTTCTCTCACATCCTGTTGTAAACTGTCCAAGTTCTGAAAAAAACATGAAAACAATTTTATCCTTTGGCCGCGGGAGCCATTAATGTAGGTATGGAATCTGTTAGGGAAACTGACTGCTCTTTTCTACCAATTAGATTTTATGGTTTTAACAGTTTTATTGCTTTAATGTTTTTGTTATGTTTTTTATTATTTGAGGTAGTGTTTTTTGTTCACTGCCCAGAATTACATATGTGAGAGGGGGGGCTATCTAAAATTTCCAAACAAACAAACATGGAATATTGAACTAAACAGATGTGTGATCTGATTGCATTAGCTTGTAACTTATCTAAGTGCATATAAAAGTCTTCCAAAATTATTCATTTAAAACATGATGTCATAGTTTTCCCTATTATCACAGGACCTCCTCCACTACAATGGAGAATATACTCTCCATAAAGAAGGATAAGATTATAAATAACATACCTACAGTCCTATCAATCTGTAGTTATGCATCATTGTAACCAAACAACCACAAAACAGCAATGTACTCCTAGCTAAAATCCAGGAAAATCATAGTTACTGTATGGCATTGTTTTGGATTGAATTCTTATTTTCTTTTTGTTGCTTAATCTGATATAAAAGCCAGTGGCTAAATAAGCATTAAATATTTTTAAAGCTTTTTTTGTAGTAAATCAGATTCTTGATTATGATGATGATGGTGATATAATAATAATAATAATAATAATAATAATAATAATAATAATAATAATAATAATAATAATAA